ACCCACCTACCAAATTTGATCCGGATATCTCGAAAACTGAGAGACTAGAAAGCATACAAACAGACAGACAGACGGACAGACGGACAGGCTGACATGGCTAAATCAACTCAGCTCGACGTTCTGATCATATAAGTATACATTTTCATGGGTCTATCTCTTTTTGTTCTGGTACTTACAAACATCGGACCAAAGTTATAATACCATTTCATGCTCATGAAAGGTATAAAAATGGTGGGTTAACATGAGCATAGTAGTTAACAAATAACTGTGAAAATGGCGCATAGACCTAAAATTCCTACAGCGTAAGTACAAATATGAGATCGGTTTTAAGCGATCGATATTCATATACCCACATACATACATATATTTCTTTTCATATCAATTCAAGTCTATTACAACTGTATACTTAAATGATCAGAACGTCGAGCTGAGTCGATTTAGCCATATCCCTCTGTCTGTCTGTCCGTCTGTTTGTATGCAATATAGTCTCTCAGTTTTCGAGATATCCGGATGAAATTTGGTATGTGGGTGTATTTTTATAATGTTTTAATCATTTGTCGGAACCGGAAGAATCGGAACACTATAACATATAGCTCCCATACAACTGATTGTTCAGATATGAGATTTTTCGTTATAACTTCCCCATTTAAGCAGCTAGGAACATGAAATTTTGCACTGTTGTCACTCATTATCAAGAGAATACTTTCAGTGAAAATGGTGCGGATCGGGTAGCAATAACCTATAGCCTACATACAACTCATTGTTCAGATATGAGATTTCTTGCCATAACTTCTCCATTTATGCAGCTAGGAACATAAAAATTCGCACCTGTTTCATTCATTATTAACAGAATACTTACAGTGAAAATAACAAAGATCGGGTCACTATGACCTATAGCTCCCATAAAACTGATTGTTCAGATATACGATTTTTCGTTATAACTCCTCCATTTAAGTAGTTAGGAACATGAAATTTTTCACTGTTGTCACTCATTATCAAAAGAATACTTTCAGTGAAACTAGTGAAGATCGGGTTGCTATAACCTATAGCTTCCATACAGTTGATTGTTAGGATATGAGATTTTTTTCCATAACATGAACATGAAAATTCGCACCGTTTTTAGTAATTATTAACAGAATACTTGCAGTGAAAATAACAAAGATTGGGTCACTATAACATATATCTTCCATACAACTGATTGTTCAGTTATGAGAATTTTCGTTATAACCAACGGTTACAAATTTTATTATAAAAATCACTTTTTAATCGTTATTAACTGAGTTATATTTTTTGCTCAAAACATAACGATTACTTTTGAAGTTTTATTTTTTATTCAGAAAATAGACGTTATGTTTTGAATTTTATTTTTTGATCGGAAAGTAATGGTTATTTGTTGAGTTTTATTTTTTGCTCGGAAAATAATGGTTACGTTTTAAGTTTTATTTTTTGTTAGGAAAAATTTTGCAAATAATGTCAAGCTGAGTAGACGTGTTTGTCAGTGCGCTGCAGCTGTATATTTATTCCGAGTGTTTGATCAATTGTTTGCATTTGAAGTGATAGCGGGTCTCACTGAAATATCTCTACACCTCATATCGAGTAGCTCTGTTGACAATTTGTGTATGCAATAGTTATATTACTTTTAATCGTCGCAGTTTAATTTCAAATAAAAATAAATATGACAACAAGAAAAGTTGCGCGTCAAGCGGTATCTACTCCGCAGAATAGTTCTCTCAGTAAAACAGAGAAAAAAGAGAGCTCCCCACCTACATTGTGGCTGGAGCGTACTGGATTCACAAAGGAAGAGTATTGTCGAAGAGATAGCTGAACGGCTAAAATCATCTGAAGAGCGAGTGATGCAGCGATTTGGCGAGGTAACAGCTGAAGGGCAGAAGCTCAAATCGCGCAAAATGAGCAGCTGCAAATGGAAGTGGCGCTGTTTAACACCCGATTTACATTATTCACCTACTTGAAAGCAATTCTTGCTCATTCTCTTTTGTGTTTTCTATTTGCGTTTACACGCTTCAATTCTGTTGAATTCAAGTTTTTGGTTCTTGGCTTCTATTTTGACATTTGTCATTTGTGAAACTGGTGAATTGGCGAAAAGCAGAAACACGTGTTGTACATCTTGATTTGCAAATTATTAATTAATTTAACTGAAAAATGGAACCGGACAAATATTTAATCCTAAAAGAAGCACTGGAAGCTACGCGTCATGCTATTATAGAAGAGGCCGATGAAGAAGTTATTATAGGTAAGTAATTGAACTTGAATTTAGTGCTCCTCCTAGATACATATGTATGTACATATATCATTTGTAATTTTTAATAAAACAGAATTGGTTGATCTTTGCGGAAAAGTTGCTGCGTTGGCCAGGAGAAAAAAAATAAAACGTGTATGGATGAAGCCGTGGAGAGCGATGAAAAATGACCGAGGTTCATTTTCATTCTTAACGAAGGAGCTTCTACTTTCAGATCCTGCAGGATATAATAATTATTTGCGGTTAAATAAAAGTCAATTTGAATTATTACTACGCCTTATTCAGCCGCAAATAGAACGCTCCAGCACGTTAATGAGAGAAACAACTTCTGCAGCGGAAAAGTTAGCGCTAACTTTGCGATTCCTTGCTACAGGTTGGTCCTTGAGGGTACGGTTTAGTTATTTGCCCAATAATTTCGGGCTATTGTGTTCGAATGGGTGACCTGATCCAAACAAGTTTTACACACACTTTTAGTCAAGGGGGTACACTTAATTGGATAACTACAACAAATTTATTATTAAATTCGGTTTAAAAAATGCACTTTTTTGTGAATTTCGAAGTAAGTTCTACGCAAATATATTATGGCGTTGCCGACCAAAACTATAGTTGTACAGTTTTTATTTAATAACTTTAAATAATTTATAATTAAACATTTTTTTCTTTGTTAAGATTTTACTTTATTATTGTTTTTATTTAGAAAAAAGTGTTTTACACCTATTATTTTGACCAATGATATCTTGTTATCATACGTAAACATTCGTTTAAAAATATAAAGCGATATGATTTCCGCATATTTTGGTTTTATAAAGTAAAATCTTAATATAAACAAAGAAAAAAATTTTTAATTACAAATTATTTAAAGTTATTAAACAAAAAACTGTGTACAGCTATTATTTTGTCCATAAGTGTATATGCACAAGAAATGTTGAATACCTTTGACAATAGAAGAGGGGTTCCCCAGGGTGATGAGTTCTTGAATTATATTTAGCTAACACAATTTCTTACAGGAGAATCGTTTATAAGTTTAAACTATCAATCCCGTCTATCAACGTCGTTCATCTGCCGGACTATACCAGAGGTGTGTGAAGCAATTTATGGGAAGTTGAAAGAATCGTTTTTGCAGGTACATATGTATTTTATCAATAATATATAAATTTTCAATATTATAAATACTTATTTTTTAAAGGTACCAAGTAACGCTTTAGAATGGGAACTCATATCCAAGGATTTTGCTATAAAATGGCAATTTCCAAACTGTCTGGGTGCTTTGGACGGAAAGCACATTAACTTTCGAGTCTCGCGTACGCAAGGTGCTTTCTATCACAATTACAAGGGCACCAACAGCATAATTTTATTGGCTCTTGTTGATGCCCACTGCCGATTTTTATTTGTGGATGTAGGAACAAATGGACGTGCAAACGATGCCGGTGTGCTACAACGAAGTCCACTCAAACAAATTCTAGAAAACGAAGAAAGCTTGCCACGAGACTCTGCAGTGGGTAGAAGACGTAATTTGCCGTACGTCGTCGTAGCGGATGATGCTTTCCCTCTACAGAGACACATTATGAAACCTTATCCATATCATACGAACAACAAAAAGAAGCAAATATATAACTTACGTTTATCACGAGCAAGACACGTCGTAGAGCATGCTTTTGGCATACTTTGTAATAGATTCCGTGTTTTTTTAACAACTATGAACGTAAAGGTTGAGACAGTTGAAAAAATCACTTTGGCGTGTATCGTGCTTCACAATTTTCTCTTGCAAGCTGACCATAATTACATAAATTCCTATACTTCGAATAGCAGTACTACGCTGAGTACTGCTTCAGATGGGCCATATAATCCACGTAAAGGAGAAGCCGAACGCATTAGACAGGATTTTACTGAATACTTCTGCGAAGAAGGCAAATTAGACTGGGTTAATCAGAAGTTAAATTAAAAAATATCGATTTTTCGAAAAACCTCAAAAATCTGCATATACACCCCGTGTCAAAATTATAAGCGCATCACATATTGACAAGTTTCAACAATAAATTGTTTGTTATTTAATTCGAGTATTTAAAAAAATAGTTTCTTTAACAAAATCCGTATTAATACAAGTTTCAAGTTTGTTAAAGAAGAAAAAATTTTTTTAAATACTTGAATATAATAACAAACAATTTATTGTTGAAACTTGTCAATATGTGATGCGTTTATAATTTTGACACGGTGTATTTTGAGATCTCTCATATTAGTTGCAATTCAACAAAACAAAAAAAACTAATTGGAACTAATTTTCGTGTTAAGCTTCTTCAGTCTATGCAAAAATAAATAACTTTTTTGGCGATAAACATTTATCAAAGTAAAATGTGTACAGAAACTAAACCAAACAAAACATTTGTAAACTAGTGTAAGTTTTATTTCAGTTCATTTAACATACAATTTCAGTTGTATCAACGTATGACTAGTTCTTAAGTTTTGAAATAAACATAAATTTGAACATTCGACAGTTTTAATAATTTGTATAGAGTAAAACATTAACAAAAAACAAAAAAGGTTAACATTAAATTCATAGCTTGTTTTTTAAAACAAAACAAATTTCGTTACTTGGCATTTCTGAGTGTTAAAAGGCACACGAGATCTTTAAAGTTATGTCGACATCATTAAAAAGTTTCAAAATCGTCTTCATCAAATACACCAAGCATTGACTCCTGTAAAATGTCTCTGCCCGAGTTATTTGATGAGGTTGACGGCGAGAACTTTAGTGCAGGTTCTTGCTTTTTTTTAATTGCTTTCTGCCAGTACTTGTTCATTATACTTTGAATTTCCATAACAGCATTTGGCTGATCTTCTTCATCAATTTCTTCCATTTGTTCGCTTACTTGCTTTCCAATCCAGTCGAATTTTGGTTTTGGTTTTTTTTCTGTTATAAGATGCTTGATATTATTGATGTCAGCTTCGCCTTTGGTTTTTTTTGATTTTCTGCGCTACTGGACTCATCCCAACTCTCTTCACTAATCTGAAATGAAAACGAGATTTTCACACATTGCATATACATATTTACAAAAATATTTGCATGCATACATTAGTAATACTTCGCCGTAGTTGAACATGGCTTTGTAAAAATTGTAGCTGCTCAAAACACCACAATTTTGGAGTATATAGGTCCTCCACGCCAGCGCCACTTTTTTTGGAGTTATTCACAAGCCTACACTCCTGCAGATATTGGGTGCGCAGACTCTTCCACTTCTTCTTCAGGTCCTCTATTGTTATGCGCCCGTCTATTTTTTGCATTTCCGCAAGAATGCTATTCAATGCAAGCGCCTTTTTTTGCCTGTTGAGGTAATCCTTTGAGCTGACGCAATAAAGGCATTCTTGCTCCTGGTATAAATAAATAAACTTTTCCACGTTTTCCTTGCTCCAGTTGAACGCCATAATTTCAAAGTTTTCTTTGAATTAATATACATCCAATGTACTAAAATTCAGCAAACAAAATTTATTTTCACAAGTTACCGTTCAATTCCGTCAAATTCGCTTTTACTTGACCGCGCAAAATTCTGCAGAATGCAAAAACAAGTATGAGAGGGAATGTCAAAAATGGTAAATGCAAAAGAGGAATGTCAAGAAAGTTGAAACGACTTGACGGTACGGACGCATGTGTACTCGTCCCTTTTCTTCTCACCCCCTCTCTTCCATGTCCGAGCAGAATTGAGTTCAATACTTGAACTGTGTAAAAGCACTCTAAGACTGAGCTTAACGAATGTCAAAACCAAGCCGTCTCCACCGACCTCATTATCAATGGTCTCCCCTATGTGGATGGTGAGAATTTGGAAGATGACTTCGGCAATCTGGTCAGTCATTGGATTTACCTGTGCTTCAAGTTCGCTCGGCCTTTCGAGTATCTAAACAACTCCGCTGCTTCGGTGATTGTCAAGTTAGCATCTTCTGCTGATCGATCCACCCTTTTCAAATCAGTGGCTCGCTTTTGCAAAAAAAAAAATCGGCCGCTATTGCTACGTGATGTTGGCCTGAGCTCGGATGGCAAAATACACATACATGAGTGTCTTTAAAAAAACAACCGCGAGCTAATGCGCTTCGCAATGCAGCTAAGAAGAGATCAAAAACTTGTAGCTGCCTTTTCAGTTCGTGGGTATGTGTATGTACTCGTTCGCCTTAAGTGCAAAGCTGTGAAGGTACTCCATATAGAGAGCATCAAAAGTGTTGCTGCAGTGTGAAATTGACGCCGATGAGCTTAACAAATATTTTATCAGTGCCAACAACAAAAACCATTGTGCTCCCGTGTTGAAGGATTTCATGCCTTTTCCTAGTCCAAAACACGAGTTTCAATTTATGGCAGTTAGCGAGGTTGAGGTCCTGATGGCCCTGTCAAAAATTAAGTCTAGCGCTATAGGGGAAGATGAAATCTCGCTGAAATTCGTCAAAATAGTAATTGATTTATAATAGGCCCTCTCACTCATATCATAAACCAGCTCATGCTTTCCAACAGTTTGGAAAAAAGCTATAAATTTGCCAGTTTCGAAGAAGACGAATGCTACTTATGCTGGCGACTATAGACCTGTCAGCATATTGCCTGTCTTTTCGAAGGCTTGTGAAAACTTAATGGCTGTGCAAATTTCTGCATTTGTGCAAGAAATTAGTCTGCTTTCTTCACTACAATCTGGCTTCCGACAAAAACATAGTTGTTCGACGGCAGTGGTCAAAATACTGGATGATATTAGAATTAACCTTGACAATGGCGACCTGACACTTCTTTGCTTACTCGACTACTCAAAGGCGTTTGACTCAGTGAATCACAAATTGTTGTGTTTGAAGCTCAAACATTATTTCGGCTTCAAAGACAATGCGGTAAAACTTATGGTTAGCTACCTGGAGGGTAGAACGCAGAAGGTTAAGTCAAACAAACTAATATCCCCGCCTAGATTTGTGTATGCTGGTGTTCCATAAAGTTCTGTTCTCGGTCCACTGTTATTCAGTCTCTTTGTCAATGATGTCTTTTCTGTTCGTCAATATGTGAATATCCATGCGTATGCTGATGACATACAATTGTACCTGTCCAGTCGTATTGGTCTCGTTGAGGATTTATGTTTCAAAATAAACAGTGACTTGTCTGCTATTTCTGTTTGGGCTGCTGGAAATTCTCTATGTTTAAATGCGTCAAAGTCGTATGTATTGCCTGTATGTAATAGTGTGGTGTATGTCGATTGTATTCCAAAACTGTGGATAGGTACCAGTCCGCTTAGTTTTACGGATAAGATAAGAAATTTAGGTTTTATTCTTAACTCTAAACTTACCTGTACTGACCACATAAATAAGTTTGTGAGCAGCGTGTATGCGATACTGCGTAAGCTGAGAGTTTCTGCAACATTTACGCCACTGGAAACCAGGCGTAAATTAGTTCTCCAACTAATTATGCCAATCATCACCTACTCTGAGGTAGTATACAGCAAACTGGACACAATATCTTGCCATAAACTCAATGTAGCACTCAACAATGCTACACGTTGTGTATATGGGATTGGTAGATATGAGCAACTTTCTGCCTGTCGAACAAATATCCTGGGTTGTAGTCTTGAGAACTATTTGGCCGCTGGGAATTGTATATTTATTTACAAACCAGAGAGCAGTGTTGTGTGAAACCACCTAATGTCTATTTATTCCAAAACTTATATTGTGAATGTGTACTCCTGCCTCTGGAATGCGACTCTGCGTAGTTAAATGTAATAAGAGGCATAAGGCAACACTGTTGTGAAAAGCCGCCATTTGAGAAACTTAAAGAATTTTCTAGTCGCCATTTCAATTCACTTCTAAATTGCGAGTGCACCAGAGGCAGGAGAACGCACAAAAGCGTAAGTAATTGTAATCCAATTCACCATACTCTTAATCAGCAAAAACCATTTAACATTGTAAATTTATTCAGGAAATAAAACGCGTTAGGTTTCAACCATATTGCACAACCAAGAAACCAGCGTTCTTATTTGCAAATCCTGCAGGTGCAACAAATTTTTATTTCGCTTTTTGGTGCCACGTGGAGCGGTGCACCCAGTCGAGCGGTCATAGTGAAACGGGCGTCGACATCCAGGACTGGACGCTGCTAGCAAAGTGGGAAGAACAAGGTCGCTACAATATACACAAATTTAAGGNTGGTGCCACGTGGAGCGGTGCACCCAGTCGAGCGGTCATAGTGAAACGGGCGTCGACATCCAGGACTGGACGCTGCTAGCAAAGTGGGAAGAACAAGGTCGCTACAACATACACAAATTTAAGCAAGCAGGTGCCGGTATCACATTCCGCCGGCGAGTATACATAAAATAACACAATACATCGCTTGGTATAATACGGTGGCTGGCAATGCACGTTAATTCGGTACATTATATACATCGATTTGGTACAAAAACGATCGGAGCCATATTGGCGCAGTATATTACATCGAGTGGTACGATATACACACGCTGTGAGCAAGCAGTAGCACGGGGCCAACGACAGCCAGCCAGTGAGATAGAAGCGTTGGGCAAATAAAACCGATCATCATCGTAAACTACATGATCTACCCGAATTCGACGGCCGGCCAGAAGATAGGCCAATGTTCAAAGAGGCGTTTCATTTGAGCTCTGTGTCTTTCGTTTCACGATTTTTATTCTACTTGTGTATAACAAATTTTAATTTAAACAAATATATTATCGCAAACAATCATAGACAATTTTAATTTTCAAATATATAATCACAAACAATTATATACAATTTCAATTTTGTGAATACAAGTATAAATTAAATTAATTTGTGCATTGCAAATATATATTCAATTTGTGATAGTGACAATTGGCTGCTTTTAAACTTTTTATTATTTTCTTTGTTGTTTTCACTTTTAATTTGCACAAACAATATGCCTTGTTTTTGTGGTCAGAGAGTGGAGCGCGCTCAAAGCAGTGTGCAGTGTGAGAA